TAAGTGAAATAAGCTAGACTCAGATGATTATCATGTTTCTCTTATATACAAAATATGGTTATGTGTGTATGTGTATATGAGAAAGACAGAGAAAGAGAAAGGGAGAACTGAATGAAACTATTGGGTTGCAGGAAAGGAAGGCAGAAGACAGGATAATTAATGGCAGGAGCACAAGCAAAGTACATTATTTACATGTATAAAATGTCTTTAGGGAATAGGGAGCAAATAGGTAGGTAATGGTGGGGTAAATCCAAATCAAAGTACTTTATGTGTGAACAAAAACACCCTTATGAAACACATTAGCTAACCCACTGCTAGCACCATCTGTCAATACCTACCATTATAAAGGACAGACATACTCAGGGGTGCACTACCCAGGGGGCACTCACATAAGCACATTGCTAGTACCATCCATCAAAGTCCATCATCATGAAGGGCAGTCCATACATGTGTCATATTGCTAATCCATGACAGAGAACTGAAAAGCCACCATTATCCCAGAGGTTGCTTGTATCGTATAGTGGAGATTGTGGAACAAGAGGGGACTTCAAAGACACCAACACCATTCTCTGTCTTGTGCCTGACAGTGGGGATCTGAAATTAAAACTCTTAGATGTCTTTAACTTGGGGCATATATGTTAAAGGCAGCCTTCTGATCTGATATTTTTGCCATAAAAAATGAGAGGAGAAATAACTGATAAATCAACTCTTATGCAACAGACACCAGAAAAGTTTGATGAACTAATTCAACAGCAAGTTAGATTTCCTGAACTCTTAAAACTGTGGTCCCATTTATGAATTAAAAATAAAAATAAATTTAAAAAAGGAATCATGGTCTGAATGAGCATGGTTCCCATACGCTCATATGTTTGAATGTTTGGTTCCCAGCTGGTAGACTGTTAGGGAAGGAGGTGTGTCACTATCTGAGGTTTCAAAAGCCCCCACCAGGCTCAGTCTCACACTCTCTCTCACTTGCAACTTTCAGATCAGATGGGTGCTCTCAGCTATTGCTCCAGCACCATGCCTGACTGCTACCAGGATCCCTGCCACGATAAGCATGGACTACCCCTGAAACTGTAAGCCAGCCCCCATGGAAATGCGTTCTTCAATAAGTTGTCTTGGTCATGGTGTCTCCTCATAGCAACAGCCATAACTAAGCCATCAAGTAAAGTGACAAGGAGCAAAACAGATGTGGGAGATACTTCAGCCTCAGCACTGGCTGTGGGGATGCCCAGTGTCACTTTCCATTGCTCTAAATGACGCATGCCCATAAAGGGAGGAAAACCAGTGACAAGAATCAGGGTGCAGTGAGAAGGAGGGAGCAGCTTCTCCCTGGCAGGGCCTGGGAATAACAGCAAGGCAGGACAGAGTAACAGCAAGACGGTTCCTACTTAGCAGTTCAACACAGTTTATAGTGATGAGGATGGTAAACACCAAGTGAGATTCCTGCCTTACAGGGCTTAGGATGGGGAGACTGCAGCACAGCCATGACAAGAAGGGAACAGGTGGCTGCTGCCAGGGCCCCAAAGTTCTTTCAGCCACCTGGCAAGCACAGGTGCAGCAGCAGATCAAGAGTCCTGTCAATAGGGGCTAGAGAGCAGGAACAGCACATATCCTCAAGCCCCACCCACACCGCAACCACAACTAGGCACATGGGGACAAGGATCTGGATCAAAGCAGATTGTCACCTCCACTTGTGAAACATTCTAAGTCTAACAGAATAGGCTGGTGCTCCACTGGTACCTGTATTTGAAAAACGTCCTTTTCTTTCCCAGTCACAGGAAGCTCCTATATGCACACACAGTTGCAGGTCAAAATCTCAATTTCACGGCCACTATCCTGTGTCTGTTCGGATGTAACAAGACATCATGTCCCAGAAGCAACCTGGGAGCAGCACCTTACTTCTGAACCTCAGGCTGCTCTAAGATGCAGAGAGAGGACAGACAACAGGACAGCCGTGGAGGAAAGGCCCCTGGGCAGATTCTGAACTGTGGATCTTCAACAAACACACAGGACTGGCCACAATAGCTAAGTGTCACAGGTCATGTTAAGATGGAGTTCATTCAACAAAATGGGCAGGGACTAAAAGTAAAAGGTGGCTAAAAAGTGATACATTTTTCTTTCAAATAACCATATTGGAGGAGGAACAAAAAAGCCTGATCTCAGGAAACATCCTCGAGCCCCACCAAGCTGCAACGTGAGATTCTTTACTCAGGACCCTGCTTTGTTTTCCCATCTCCTGTCCAGCAAAGTAACTCCATATCACCAAGCTAAGTCACTGGGTTACAAGAAGTACTGCACTGCCAGCTTGTATGACTTCAAAAGGATATGCCTGCTCTTCCTATCTATGTCTTATTTTAATTCCCTGCTAGTGGGATGCAAATGTGAGCAAGAGCACCAGGCAGCTACTTGGACTCTGAGGTTAAAGCCAAGTACATAGTAACAACTAACTGTCTGACAAACAACTAGCTCTGAAGACACACTGATCAACTTCTATCTCATGAAGCTACCATGTCAATAGATTTGCTGTCACCGTGGATATAGCCCAACTTCCAAGGTGCCAGAAATCTAATTGGCTCCTGCAGGCTGGCTAACACAAGACCCACCTTTCATTGTTTTCCCTCAAGCCCCTGTTCCTCATGTCATATCCCTCAGTACAATGACACTCAAATTATCCACAGTCACCCTTAGCAGCCTGGATAGTATGCCCTCCTCCTGCAGAGGTCTGCCTGTCCTACAGGATGTACAGCCCCTGTTCAACCATGCCAACTGCTCAATACACACACCTCATACTTCTAGAGGAGTCTCGGGGGTTGAGCAAAACCCATAGCCAGGGAGATGCTCCAAAGCAAGAGAGCCAAGGCCTGACCACAAAGCAATGGTGGTGACTCTCGACCACAACTGAGACCAGAGGCCACAAGACCAGCTCTATGAGCAGGGTGCCATGCTGTAGAATGATAAACAAAGATCACACAAAGACAAACCAAGGCCTATTTTCCATTTTTAAAGAAAAACTTAAGTAAAGAAGATTTCATAACGCATTAGCCTTGTTTCCCGACTCTGTACACACACCACTGAGAAGGGCAATCAAAGAGAAGTGCCTAAGAGCAGCCACTCCCTGGAAACTCATTTTCCCCCTTTTGTGTTCCACAATCTACGAGCACTTTTACTTTAGCAATGTCAGAATTTCTTAGTAGCTTTACTGCACAGGCAAGAGATGTCCACATTTCAAAATGCATTTACTAGGGGAAAATAAAGATGAGAAACAAAGTATTTCATATAGTAAGTCTACTTTAAAGAGATACCACTTACTTCAGTGACAAAAACATAAAGATTGGGAATAAACCTAATAAAGCATATACAAGACCTTCCATAAAGGTTTCCCTTGGTCTGTTGGCCCAGGCTTAATCCCAGATACTTGGTGGGATGAGGCCAAGAGGATCTGAAGTTCAGAGTATGTAAAAGCCACAGAATGAGTTCAAGGCCAACCAGGGCAACTTAGACAGACCTAGTCTCAAAATAACAAGGAAAAATGGGGCTATAATCCATTCACAAATTAAATAGACTTAATAAAAAAAAAAAAAGAACACTTGACAACATGATTCTGAAAATGACATGAATGAGTAGAGAGTAAGATAACCCCATGAAATCATAAGAGGAAGGAAGAGGCACTAAGGTCCTCATGGATGCCTGCGAATGTGGCACAGATAGAACACTGAAGTAACAAGGCCAAGTTCCTGCACAGTCCCCACTGAGTGCCCGTACATGCTGCTATCAGCACAAATTAAACACATGGTGGGGAAAGAAAAACTTTCAGGTGAGAAGATGAGAGAAGACTTACAAGGCAGATGTTGAGGGGAAAGATTTCTTAAAGTAAGAATCCCATAATAACCTAAGCGGGCATCACTTTCAACTCAGCAAGACTAAGCATGTCCCATCAAATAATTGTCAAAAAATTAGAATCCCAGATGTATAAAGGTCACAAACTTATTTTTTTTTAGTAAGAATCCCATAATAACCTAAGCGGGCATCACTTTCAACTCAGCAAGGCTAAGCATATCCCATCAAATAATTGTCAAAAAATTAGATTCCCAGATGTATAAAGGTCACAAACTTATTTTTTTTAAATGGGTGAAGAAAAGGGGGTGGTACAGACAGTAACAAGTCCCAGAACAGGGACACAGAAGATACCCATCTCTATACGCATAGATGCTCTTTAGCCACCAGCAGCCAGGGAAAGTGAAGCCAGGAGCACAATAAGAATATTCACCAGACATACAGAGCTCGGGAGCCTGGCCATGTTCCAAGAATGGCCAATGAGTGGAAATCCAGGCTTGCAGCACTGCAGGTGAGAATCTCTGCAGACCCTTCCAGGAAGCATGCTGATATTATCCTGAAAGCCTCGGAGAAATCTCACAGAGGTACACCTGCATAAATGGACATGAGGATTCTAGCAACACTGTCCCAACAGCATAACATTAGGAAGTGCCAAGACATTCATCCTGCCCACTACACAAGGAGAAGAAAATACAAGCTGCAGAGACTCAAGTGCACAAAGGATGGCACACACACAGCTCAAGACAACAATAACACCACACTGCTTCCCTTAGTGCAGAAGTCACAGGGTGTGGCAAATATAAGTCAGAGATGGACAGTCTACCCCTTTTTGGGGAGTGGGGACAGAGATGGAGCTGGGGTAGCAGAACCATAAGGATGGGGAAATAGCTTCTATGCTACTAGCTTCAAGCTCACAGAGGCAGCTGGTCTGCACTGGAGGAGTTCTAACTCCTAAATTCAAGGATATAAGTTTCTATTATAAATACTCATACACATATTACATATACTCTTTTGTATGTATCAATATTACACAAGAAAACGTTTTGATTCCCATGTCCAGTAACTATGGACTTCAGGGGCTCCCAGATCAGGCCCCTGCAGTGAGCAGCAGCCACACACAGAGACAGATATCAGCAAAGACTCCCGGTCAGCATTCCTCTTACCTCTGTCACCTTGGGTTGAAGAATCAGTGCTTCGGGGCTCATCCGAGGGATGTCAATGTGGATCTGCAGATGCAGGAGAGACATATGTTTATTTTATAGGATGAGAGCAGTCCTTGACAACACGCGTCCTTTGCCCTTAACCTGCTCTGAGGACTATCACTAGGTTCCTCCATAGGTGGTACCCAGAAGCACACACCAGCTGAGCAAGGCTCAACTGTCCTCAGGTGACAGGCATGCCTGACCCTTGGCGGTCCAGCAGTGCTTGCTACATGGTTAGGAATAGAGTGGGCCCTCAGCTCCTCAGTAACATGAGCCAATGCAAGCAGTGAACACTGATTTTCAGCCCACCACTGAGCATGATTCAAGGACACTGACAGTGTCTAGGGTTTCAACTGTGACAAGGCCATCTAGAACATAGGCCATATTTTCCTCTATTTCACACTGTCCATGAGAATCTAGACACTTTAAAGGAAGCATTTAAAGTCTCTGTTGGTGTCAGTAGATTCCTGCCTGAGCATCACCTTAGCATGAGAGTCTTGATAATGCTTGCCAGTACTACAGTAGAGATCTCCTGTGGGTGGAGTTCAAGAGGTGACCCAACAGGAACATTCTGAACACAGCTGGCACCACAGGCTGGCTCCACATCCCAGGACTGCACCCCATACCAGTAGCACTAACATCACTCTGGGGCTTCAGAGCAACAGCCTGCATAGACTGAGAGGAGGCAAGCACATTTTAACCCAGAGGGGACCAACAGTTTATCTCCATCCTTGACCATGTGAAAAGAAGCAGCTAACATCTAGTAAATGGGGTCACCACTTCACTCTGTTACTAGTTGGTTTATGGCCAAGAGTAAGACATTAGGTTCGGCCTCCTCACTTACAAAAGGCCTGCTCTCTGTGTCCTTCAAAGGGTTCCTGGTGACAGTCAGAGTCTTGAGTCCTCAGCACAAGGGAACAAGGTGAGATAAACTTGCAAATCAAATACACACAGAGCACACAGAAGAAAAGTCCATGAGCAGCCACACAGATCAGCTAGGTCAAGCAAGGTCAAAGAACTCAGGAGGGCCACATGCAAGAACCCAGGCATGGGTGAGGGACAAGAGTGCCAAGGTTCACTAAAAAGGCATCCTGGAATACCACCCTCAGTACACTGCTCCCTTCAGTGAGAGTCCGATGAAGAGTTACACTGTATGCTGGGCCCATGGAAGATGAAAAGCAGGCCTGACCTGCCTCTGTGACTACTACCAGCAAAGATCAACTTTTGTAAGAGCCACAGGAAATGTACGTCTTATGCAGATAGGACAGTACATGCATCATACCCCATATCCTGCCTCTGGCCTGCCTCATCAATCACAGGCCTAGAAAAACAGGAGAAAGGCTACAAGAGTTAGCAGGACTAACCTATAGAGGGAAAGCCAAACCATGCAAATGTTATCTCTAACTAGCTCCATGTGGCCTGGACATAAACCTTCAGGGGGACAGTAAATACATTATAATAAAATTCAGGTAATAGTTTGGGGCACAGGCCAAGATAATGCCCTACAGAATCAGACTATAGAGTGCCAGCCACATGCTAAGATAACACCCTCCAGAAGGATGATATAGAATGCAGGGACAGGCCAAGGTACCACCCTCCAGAAACAGGTTGTAGAGTGCCAGTCACAGGTCTAGGCACCACCTTCCAGAAACAGGATAGAGAGTGCCAGGCCCAGGCCAAGGTATCACGCCCCCAGAAGTAGGCTACAGAGTATCAGGCACAGGCCAAGGTGCCACCTCTAGAAGTAGGCTAGAGAATGTCAGGCACAGGCCAAGGTGCCACATGCCAACCATCAGCCAAGATAGATGCAGGTCATCACTAAGAGATCTCAGCATCTATTTTGTAACCTGACTCAAGCGTCATGCTTTACCTCTCTGTCTGAGAAGGAACTCGAACAAGCTAAATGTTGCTGCTGGTAGCAAATTACCATTAATTGCTTTCAAATGTTTATTGTTAGAAAATATAAATCTGCAAGCCTATCAGGTTCCTGATAGATGAAATACATTTCCTACAAACCACCTGCAAATCCCAGTATTGAGTGATACATGGAAAAGAGAAAGACCACACACACACCTGGCGATATGTGTCCTGGTGAGCTTCATCATTCCTTGAGTTGTAATAATGTTCAATGAAAGCAAAGTATTCCTTCTGCTTTCTCTGCAGTGTGGCTGGTCTCCGGTCAACATTGGCAGGAAGATAACCCTAGAGGATCAAAAGAAACACAGGCATCCATGGTTACTGTGCATCATGAGCATGAAGAACAGTAGTCACTTCCAGAATGACCCAGGCCTATGGAGCTCCATCTACCACATTAGGGAGGACACTGTAAAAAAAAGCAGCCCACATAGGACAACACACAGCATCAGTACCCCTCACCAGTGTCACCAACCAGGTCTAAGTCATCACTCATGTCCAACAAAAGTCACCTGATACCACCTGGACCTGATGCTTTCCTAACATATGGTATGGAGATGCAAAAACCCTTCTCCACAGGGCTCATGTCCACAAGGAACTGGGAGCCTGTCTGGTCTCACACTCACATCATGCACACATACACACACATTGCATTTATGTGCTCAAAGCTGTCCTGTAAGAAAATGTGCATCTACTCTCCAAAGCCCCTGGGACTTCTGACACTATGCAACACATAAAATGAACACATATCCAGAAAGGAGCAGATGGCTCCAGCAGTCACAAAGAGCTTGCATTTTATGTGGATTATTATATGTTTCCTTGTTCTAGATTTTATATTAATCTTATGATATAATACATAAGGTATAACTTTGAAACTTTGTCCATTTTAAGCAGAGACCTGTGACCTCATGGAGAGTGTCAGGCAGTTGACTATTGTTCCCAGAAAGACAGGAGGCACTTTCCATTGCCCAAAGTGATGGTGTTCTCTGTAACCCATTCCTGCCACCCCATCTGCACCCTGGAAGTCCTAGTTTCAAACTAGGGCTAACTGGGTTTGTTTGAGACTCTCCAAAAACAGACTCACTCAGAACCTAGGATTTTGCGCACACTCTCAGGAGATCAGCCCCCTCTGGGTATGAGTCTGCACGGCATGTGTTAGGCCATGACATACCTCTGGTAAGCTACTTATGATGAACAAAGCTCAATGGGTATTCATGCAGACTTTAGAAGCATGCATCTCTGATTTCTCAGGGATGAATAGCAAAGGGCAGAGGTGCGGCATCAGAATGTAGACAGAAGTTTCTAAGAAACTGTCAAATCATTTCCAAGGAGATGACACCATTTCATATTCCAGCCAGTACTGATTGAGGCACACTAGATGGGTACACCATCCCTCTGGCCACAGTGACCTTGAGGCTAAGAGGTCAAGAGGTGACCCAAAGCCCAGAATTTTGTTTTGTTTTGTTTTACTGCTTCTGTGAATCAAGGTGAACATATGCAGTCTGAGCAGTGGCAGCAGCCACCCCATGACCATGCTGGTGAGGTACGAGCTGTTCTCCAGCCTTGCTGCCACGTGCTTGCTCCAACCAAAGTTCTCACATTGGCCAATCCAATTTCTTTGCAGTCATCCATCAGAACCAGAACATGATCAGAATCTGTATTTCCCAGGAGGCTGTGGGTGACACAGCAAGAGGCAATGCTGAGGGACAAGCACAGATGCAGTCCACTTCCTGCCAGGTCACAGCCTCCTTCCAGGTCTGCAGCTGAGGACTGTAGGAAGCATCCTTGTCCCTGCATGTACAGTGCTGCTGTGTCTTGTGATGAGGAGCAGTCTCTCACTTGGAGAAAGCCCCAGCTACTGATGCACAATTGGTACTTTTACATTCAGGCTTATATGCTGTGTTTTAAAATCATTGCCAGGCATAGTTGTGTATGGCTTTAATCCCAGCACCTGGAAGGCAGAGGCAGGTGGACTTCTGTGAGTTTAAGGCTAACCTGGTCTACAGAAAGAATTCCAGGACAGCCAGAGCTACATAGTAAAACCCTGTCTCTAAAAACCCAAAACAAAAAAATAAAAAATAAATAAAATCACAACCATATCCCCACTGTGATTAACTGTCGTTTAACAACAGGAGCCACCAACTGAATACACACCTGCTTCTGTAAATGGCATCTTGTTGGGACACACTGTGCCTGCATTTTGAAGTATGGATGGCTACTCCTTCACAGTGCCCACAGAACTACACAGTTGCATGTGATTCATGGGCTGACATACTTGCTATGTATGGAGCCTTTCAAGACCACCTGCCAGCCCCTGCTGAGACATCATCCTGAAGGCAGCACAGCCACACATGTGTCTACACATATTAACATTACCTGTCCCATTTCTAACATAGACACTATTTCCAATCATCAAGTGGAAACTTGTATGGCATCTGGTTATTTCCTACATGAACTCCTCCTACATGTGAGCTGTAAGCACCCCAGATGCCAGGGCTTATTCCCAAGAAGCCCACATGAGGTGACCACTGAAACACCCCATCAGCCCTGTTATACATAGGTCAAATACAACTCACAGGTGAACAATCTGGAAAATGCTCACTTGATAGCTTTCATGGGAAAGACTCACGCTTGTGGCACAGCACTCTGCTGACAAGAAAGCACAACCAGCAGAATACTATGCTGGCTTCTCCTCTCTTCCCTGCAAAAAGGAGACTGCTAAGACCCCAATGCACATTCTGCCTCACACAACAGGTACATTGCCAACAGGACCAGAACCAGCCAGAATGTCACCCACCTGGTAATCAGAGCCACTTTCAACACCTGTGGACATCCCAATAGGGATTACTGCTAGGGACACTAGGGACAAAACCCTGCCCCTGAGCTGAAGGCACAAAATTACAAGGGTGAGGGTACAGACATATTTTTCATCCAGTTAAAAGCTGCCCCCAGAGACAACCCATCCAGGCAGGAGGCTTATTCCATACTTCCTTTCTCCTTATAGATATCTCAGTTCCAGTTCATATAAACCTAGAGAATAACTATTTCCTAAGACACATCTTGTTCATTGTCTGATAACTGCCCATCCACAGGGTCTCTAAGGAGGGTGTGGTCCCCACCAGGCACAGGGCAACTCAGTGCTCCTTCAGTCCTTGCCATTTAGAGGTAGTGTTCCTACTTTCAGATAGGGAGACAGACTTGACAAACCACAATGATATGATCAGAGCCACAGGGTAGTGAGGTCAGACTCGAGCCAAAGCCTCCCCACCACATCACCTGTCAGAGAGGCCAGCTGACCCCAACTCACAGAAAGTGAAGGGACAGTCCACACTGAGGCCTTGTCACACACACAACTACACTTGTGTCCTCTGTCAACAAGGAAGATGACTCTGGGGAGAAGCCAGAGTGCAGAGAGCTGTCCATGTGAGAGATACATGACCCACCTTCCTCCACTCTCTGCCCTGGTAATACTTATCTCTGCGCTAAGGCGTTAGAAACCCAGAACAGATCACTTTATCAAAACAGTCCCTCAAATTCCCAATGCCCTCTTGTCCCACTCAGGATATGATCCCACACTGCCTGGGCCCCACCTAGTCTCACTTCCTCCCTGGCCAGAACACACATGTGTAACAATAAATCTTTAAGCCAGCCACCCAAGCTCTGCTGCCACGTGGGTGCCCAAATTAACACACAAAGACTTACATTAGGTACAATGCTGCTGGCCAATGACTAGGATTTCTTACTTGCTAGCTCAGTCTTAATTATCAGCTATAACTATTAATCTATATATAAAGACTTATCGGGGACACTGGCGGCAAGCATCTTCTCTTGCCGGGATCACATGGCAGGTCCACAGAGAAGAGAGGGGGAGGAGGAAGAGAGTGATTTCCTGCTTGTCCCTGCTTATATTCTGAGTCTGCCCACTATGTCACTTCCTGCCTGGATCACAAGACTTCTCTTTACTACATTTCCCAGAATCCTCCTCGACTCCTAATCCCGCATAAATTGCTTCCCTATTGACCTACAGTACTTTATTTATCAACCAATAAGACAAAACATATACACAGAAGGACCTCCCCATCACACATGCTGCCCCATCCCTATGTGACAGATTCTTTGCCGTCTAAGCAGCTAAACATGCCTCAAAAATCACACCTCCCTGCCTCAGTGTCTCCCTCTGAACTCATTATTTCTTCTTCTGAGACCCACTGGCTCCAATCACAGGCCAGGCAACTCTTAACTTGACAGTTTCTGTGAATAAAGCTTGAAGGAACATGGCTGCATGCAACACACACCAATTCCTTGGCTGCTGTAGTGCAGAAAAGAGGGCTGCACAGCTGAAGCAGGCCTACAACAATGACCCAGATGGCACCTTGGGATCAAGTCTGATAACTGCCATTCAGATGCCTGTGGCCAGTGGCAACCCTTTTACCATCCCACACCCCTCGACAGTCTCCATTCTCCCTCTGCAGTCTCAGGGTATTGCTTCTGCATTGATCACTCATACCTCTTCATCATCCATGACAACCCATTCTGGGGATCAAGGTTACTGACTATATAATCTACACTGTACCAAACATGGCATTAAAATAGTCAGGACCAGACTATGTCCCCAAACATCTGCACGGCCCTCCCTCAAGTCCTAGCTCAAATGTCACATCTCAGTGAGGCCCATGAAGACCACATAAGTAGCACCCTGACCTCCTTCTTATCCTGCCCAACACCCATCAATCACCTCTGTCAACTTCCCCTACCCAATGTACTTTCATCTCTTTCCATCACAATGTAAGCTCTCCCTTTTGGCTCACAGATATCCCCAAGGGCTTAAAACATTGTACCCCATACAGACACTCAGCAAATGCTTGTTGAATGGATGGATGATGCCAGCACAATACAACCCAAAGAAGGGTGACACTGTATTAGAGTCTCTAGGAAAGACTAAGCACAATTTCCTGGCTTGGTTTGATTGTGATAGTAGATGATGGAAAACTAGACAGAGCCTGGAGATGTGCAGGAAGTAAGTCCAAGCTGGGCAAAGACTAAAACAGAGCCTGGCAGATGAAAGGCTTAGTGATGCATTCAACAGCCAGAGTGAAGGGCCCAGGCCCAGTCTGCAGTTCTGGACAGTGGAGTCACCAGAGTAGTCAGCAGAGACAGTGTAGACAGCCACACACAAATGGTGCCAGCATACTTAGGGAAAAGAATGAGCACTCTCAGGAAATTTCCTGCTCCAAGAATATAAACTTAACTTAATGAAACAAAAATTCTAAAAAGCAAGAATGCCATCA